CTCCTTCACTTCCGCCCTTTAGCTGTCCGTCCCTCACTGTCTCCCCCTCCCTCTAAGGAATTGTCTCATCCTAATTCACTTGTTTCTTGTGAAAATGAAATGAAACATTCAACTCCCCAGGTGCAGTGGACCAATCGTGGGATCCGCAGTCTGTCTCCCCCTGGTGGCAGCAAGTCCGCACTACATGCATCCAGTCGCACCATTCAGCAGCTGCTCTGCTGGCAGCACTCGTCGCTCACAGTGCAGCTAAGAGCAGCATCAGCAGCCACCGTGACACGAAGGTGAGGAGGAGGAGGAGGAGGAGGAGGAGGAGAAGGAGAACCACTGATTTCACTGAACCTCAACTCACTCCACTTCCTGTGTGTGTCAAACAGTTGCACTCGGAGTGGGAGGCGGTGTCCCTGGAGCTGGAGCAGTGGGAGGTGTGTGTCTGTCAGTTGGAGGACGTGCTGGTGCTGCAGACGCTGCTGTTGATGCCTCCTCCTCAAGGAGCAGCGGCCGCAGGAGCTGCAGCGCAGTGTTCCGTCAAAACACTGCTGGAGGGAGGAACTGGTGAGGAGTAGGAGCGTAACGACGCACCGTTAGTGGGTCAGAAAAACAATCATTGGCTGAAATAAGAAGTGAATGGTCCGTCAGGGTGTGAGGCAGGGGAGGCCGACCAATCAGAGGCCGACCCCTTAAAAATACTAAGAAAAAGAACCCTCCCACTCTGTTAAAACTTCCTGTGTTCATCTTTGTGCTAATTGGGTTTTCACTAAATAATTTGCGTCAACGTCCATCAAAAAAAAACAAAAAACACAAACATTAAATTCAACATTTCATTACATGTGGCCCCCGAGCCGCAGGTTGACCATGCCTGGTGTAAGGAGTAGACTGAGTAATCTGAAAAAAGTCACTGGTCATACCAGGACACTACACACTCCAGTCCAGTAGGTGGCAGTGTGCTCCAAGTCCAGCTGTGTCTGTGTCCCTGTGTCTGTGAAGGTGGCATCGCTGACAGCGTCTCCAAGTGGGTGTTCCGACAGAACCTGGCTCCTCAGAGACTGAAGGAGATCCTCCAGGAGGGAGAAGGTCCAGACCAGAACCAGCAGGACACGGACAGGACCGCAGGTCAGGACTTGACTACAGTAATCTGGATTATCACATGATTTTGATCAGTGTCCTGACCCTAACCTGACCTCTGACCTCTGTGTGTCCAGAGCTGCTGCTGGCGGTCTGTCGGCGGTTTCCACACTCCCTGTCACCTGACCTGCTCCACGCCCACTGCTGCTGGGAGTACGTGGTCCAGTGGAACAAAGACCCAGAGGTGGGGGACCGTGTTGAAACATGACGTTGACTGTCAAATATACAGCCATATATTTATCATATATGTATTATATATTTATCATATATGGTCATATATGTATTATATATTTATCATATATGGTCATATATGTATTATATATTTATCATATATGGTCATATATGTATTATATATTTATCATATATGGTCATATGTGTATTATATATCCAGTCATATATTTATCATATATCCAGTCATATATTTATCATATATCCAGTCATATATTTCCTCCCTACGTCACAGATTTTCTTTGTGGTGTTGACGTCGACTGTTGTCTCCACAGGAGAGTCAGAGTCTGTCCTCCTCTCTGGACCATCTGAAGCTCATCTCCAGTCCACATGATATATTTATCATACATCCAGTCATATATTTATCATATATCCAGTCATATATTCCCTCCCTACGTCACAGATTTTCTTTGTGGTGTTGACGTCGACTGTTGTCTCCACAGGAGAGTCAGAGCAGTCATATATTATCATATATCCAGTCATATATTTGTCATATATCCAGTCATATATTCCCTCCCTACGTCACAGATTTTCTTTGTGGTGTTGACGTCGACTGTTGTCTCCACAGGAGAGTCAGAGTCTGTCCTCCTCTCTGGACCATCTGAAGCTCATCTCCAGTCCACATGTCCAGTTAGGTCAGTGTCTCTGCAGTGGTTGACCAGTGAACTTTACAGTTCAGATCCTGTCTGACCATACCAGACCTGGCCACATGGGGTTGCTGTTCTGTGTTATTATCTATGTTAATCTCTGCTGTTAAATCATGAACAAAACTGCCGTATGTTGAAACAACCTGGTGAAATGTTGACGGTTGGGACAGTGAGTTACCACGGCTGTGATGGTTAATGTTGTATGGTAACTCTGGTTAACTGGTTAACTGGTTAACTGTTTAACTGGTAACCTGTGGCCGGTATAGCTAACTAAATAATCCATTTAATTCATAATTAAAATATAAAACTAAATGACATCAAAGCTGTGAATGTTAGCGCTGTGTGTCGTCGACAGTCTGTCGATACGATACGAATCACGATACGATATATTGCGATAATGAAGGTATGACGATATAATTGTAGTAAAACTGTCGTCGTAGTGGGACGACAACATTCACAGGCTGTAAAACCAGGACTTTAGTCACGTGACGTCACTCTGTCTGTAACCACCTCGTCATTAACGTTGTCCTGTTGGTGGCGCTGTCGTTTTCTGACAGGAATCTCCTCCATGATGTGGAGTACCTTCATCCTCAAACGGTTCTCCGCAGCGGCGTTCCTCATGGAAAAAGTAAGCGGTGTTCATTATGGGCTGTTCCCATGATGCCGTGGGTCGGTGTCCACTCTGTGACCTGGTTTGATAACCTCTGACCTCTGACCTTTGTTTCTGCAGGTGGGCAAAGCAGCCAAAGATCGCTTGTGTCGACGGGTACGTGTTTGAGGTTTTATACGTAAAGTCACGACTAGTACTGCAGTACTCATCATGTCCACAGAGGGCGACAGTTCACCGTCTTTTTTTAATGTTCAGTCGTTAGCTGTTCATAAGGATAATGAAGGACGTCTCTGTGTGTGTGTGTGTGTGTGTGTGTGTGTGTGTAGGACGTGGGGATGGGAGACAAGGCCGTGACCCAGTTCCTGGGCTGCTGCGTCCAGCTGCTGCAGGTCCTCATGGAGGTGACTGGACTGTTGGTGAACACTCTCTGCCCTCTGTCTTTTCTCTTTCACTACGTGAGTAAAGAAGGAGGCGCACGGAGCACGGAGCACGGCACGGAGCCTCAGTGGAGTGTGGCCCTCAGCGTCTGTCCCTCTGTGTCGTCCTGGTCCTGGTCCTGGTCCTGGTCCTGGTCCTGGTCCAGTCAGAATGTTCTGTTGTTGTTTAACCTTTAACTGTGGAACTGTTGCTTTGCTACAAGTGACACTAACAACAACAACAACAACAACAACCACTAATCCGTCACTACACTCTGATCTGAAGTGGTGACCTCTGACCTTGACATTCCTCTGTCTGCTCTCCTACAGTCGGACTCGGCCGTGGAGGAGGTTTCTCCTCCGGAGCTCTCCGTGGAGGAGGCGTGGTCTGGAGCCGAAGGCCCCGCCTCCCCGCTGTGTGTCGTCGACAGTCTGTCGATACGATACGAATCACGATACGATATATTGCGATAATGAAGGTATGACGATATAATTGTAGTAAAACTGTCGTCGTAGTGGGACGACAACATTCACAGGCTGTAAAACCAGGGCTTTAGTCACGTGACGTCACTCTGTCTGTAACCACCGCGTCATTAACGTTGTCCTGTTGGTGGCGCTGTCGTTTCCTGACAGGAATCTCCTCCATGATGTGGAGTACCTTCATCCTCAAACGGTTCTCCGCAGCGGCGTTCCTCATGGAAAAAGTAAGCGGTGTTCATTATGGGCTGTTCCCATGATGCCGTGGGTCGGTGTCCACTCTGTGACCTGGTTTGATAACCTCTGACCTCTGACCTTTGTTTCTGCAGGTGGGCAAAGCAGCCAAAGATCGCTTGTGTCGACGGGTACGTGTTTGAGGTTTTATACGTAAAGTCACGACTAGTACTGCAGTACTCATCATGTCCACAGAGGGCGACAGTTCACCGTCTTTTTTTAATGTTCAGTCGTTAGCTGTTCATAAGGATAATGAAGGACGTCTCTGTGTGTGTGTGTGTGTGTGTGTGTGTAGGACGTGGGGATGGGAGACAAGGCCGTGACCCAGTTCCTGGGCTGCTGCGTCCAGCTGCTGCAGGTCCTCATGGAGGTGACTGGACTGTTGGTGAACACTCTCTGCCCTCTGTCTTTTCTCTTTCACTACGTGAGTAAAGAAGGAGGCGCACGGAGCACGGAGCACGGCACGGAGCCTCAGTGGAGTGTGGCCCTCAGCGTCTGTCCCTCTGTGTCGTCCTGGTCCTGGTCCTGGTCCTGGTCCTGGTCCTGGTCCTGGTCCTGGTCCTGGTCCTGGTCCAGTCAGAATGTTCTGTTGTTGTTTAACCTTTAACTGTGGAACTGTTGCTTTGCTACAAGTGACACTAACAACAACAACAACAACAACAACCACTAATCCGTCACTACACTCTGATCTGAAGTGGTGACCTCTGACCTTGACATTCCTCTGTCTGCTCTCCTACAGTCGGACTCGGCCGTGGAGGAGGTTTCTCCTCCGGAGCTCTCCGTGGAGGAGGCGTGGTCTGGAGCCGAAGGCCCCGCCTCCATCGCTGAACTGGCCCTGGAGCAGAAGGGAGTCCACTTCCCTCTGGTCCAGCACCACTGCCTGTTAGCTTCCCTGCTACATGCTGCCATGACCTTTGGCCTGAAGGTCAAACCGCTCAGCCTGTTTGACAGTAAGGTGAGAAACTGTCCAGTCTTTCTCTGAGAGCCCTGCACATCCTTATCTTCTATATACATATATATTTATACATATATGTATATATTTTTTAATTATATATTTAATCATATATTTAATAATAATGATATATTTCTTAAATTTAAAAAGTAATTACATTTAATTAAATGTAATCTCAAGTCAAATGAAGTAACAAACATAAAAGTATATAAATATATATACACATAAATGTGTGTACATATATATGTATATATATATGTGTATGTGTGTATATGTGTATATTTGACTTGAGATAAAACTTAAAAATAAATACATTTTTAAATTTTTTTTTCCTATTGTCAGGGTAAGAACGCGTTCTTCAGGGACCTGGCGACGATACAGCTGATGCCCAGTGGAGACATGGACCCTGGTCTGGTCTCACTCAGGCAGGAGGTGAGAGACCGACACAGGGAATGGGTTATCGGGTTTTCATTATGGGAGGAAAATAACGATAATGCTAATATGGGGCCGATAATATCGTACAGCGTCAGTGAGTCCTCATTAGTTTGGTCAGTGTTGGAAACAGGGTTATTATTCATCTGGAGGGGTCAGGGGTCAAGGGGTCGGGGGGTTCAATAAGACTGAAACCACTGTTTGAATTCATCTCAGTTCCTTCTGCGGGTGCTGACTGGCTGGGTTCAAGCCATCGACGAGCCCCCCAGCTCTGCCTCTGGGAGCCCACCTCTGCCCCCTGGTGGCCCTCAGGCTGACTGGTGGCCCTCCCTGTGTCTGGAGCTGGGCTCTCTGCTGCAGGTCAACCCCGACATCCTGCGACGGCACCTCGTCTGTGAGCTCTACAACCAGGGCCTGGACCTGCGGGCGGAGGAGGTGGGTTTGAGGAGCTCTCCTTGGTTTCATGCGTCCTCCTGCAGATCCACTCAGGAACTCACGGTCTCCTGGTTGTTGTAGGAGATGCTGCAGGTGGAGGATAAGGACGTGCTGGGCTCTCAGCTGCTGGTGTTGACGGGACAGAGACTCAGCTTCTCACTGCTGCACAGCCAGAACCAGACACAGCCCGCCATGGAGCTCCTGGCCCGACTCCCCCCGACCCTCTGCACGTGGCTGAAGGCCATGGTGAGTCACATGTGATCCTAGTCTCAGACTCTGCCCC